AAATACATTAAAACATGAAAAGACATTAAGACATGGAAAGACATTAAGATATAAAAAGACATTAACAGATGAAAAGGCAGCCTTTCACAAAAAGATTTTAACACATAAAAAGTCATCAATTTATGATAATTCATCAGAATGGTGAAGTGACATTAAGACATGAAAAGACATTAATTCGCGTGAAACATCAATCACTTCATGGAAGGAAGGGATATAATTGATGTCGTGGAACATTTAAAAACCTTCTTCTTCCCAGCAGTTATTGATGTCGCCATGATGGATGCCTCGCTGAACTCTGAGAACATAAATCTGCCAATAAGGAAGCCAGTTGTGATGATGACGATGTTGTTAACGATGATGATGACAGCAGTGATGATGATGACGATGGTGATGACTGTGATGAGGTTGGCCATACTGATGATAATACTGATGATGATGGTGATGATGATGGTGAGGATGATGATGATGATGATGAGGAAGATGAGGATGAAGATGAGGATGAAGATGATGAAGATAATTTTGATAATGATAATAGAGATGATTTTTTTGATTTGCGCCTACGTTGTTAATGTTACGTTGAAAGCGAAACATCATCCATAATTTTCTCACTGCAGAATTACCCTAGTGTAAGAGCCGAGATAAAATAAGATCGAAGTAAAAAACCAGCAAGCAGCAAAAAGCCAATATGCACTTGAAAACATTACAGCGCCAATTCTAATGCGATGGGAAGTGATATAATAGGATGTGATATTGTGATGTGATGTATGTGATATATTATAAGTGATGTAGTATATGCCACGTGATGGGATATGATATGATATGATGCAATAACTTTATGAATTATAGGATATATAGGCTATGATATTGATCTTATGATATGATGTGATTAGATTCTATTTGATGTAACGAGGCGTGTAGTAGTAGTAATGTGATGTGACGTAATGTGATTTGATGTGATTTGATGCTACTTCATGTGACGAGATATGTAACAGTAATGGGATGTAATGTTACGTAATGTAGTGTGACACATTGTGATGTGGTGTGATCCCGAATGGTTTGTTGGTACATTCATCACCTATAGTGAATAATTTTGATTCTCAACGCCCCGAGTCGCGCTGAATTTAAATTGTGAATTTAAATTATTCAGCAGAGGCCATTTGAGTGCTGATGAAATTTAATTTATTCAGTCAATATGTCGTTAGTGGGAGAGTTCAAAAAAATAGGAGGGGTGTGCAGCTTGCTTGTTTGAGTATTTTTGCTTTCTTTAAAAAACTTGATGCTTTTTTGTTGTTTGTTATTTTCAGGTTTTCGTTTTTGTTGGTGTGAAATTAATAATAGATTAAAAAAAACAAAAATGTTTTGAAATTCAGATATTTGGTTTAAACTGATTTTAAAGGTTTCAACTGACCGATCAATCATTTAAGAATGGGGTGATTTTTGTTATTTTCATCGAGATTGACTGGTGATTATAAAGTTCTGTGGGCTTTGTGTTATGTTGAATGTGTGGGCATGTTAAATGTGTTTGTGTGTATGTGTATGTGTTGTGTGTGTGTATGTGTTGTGTATATGTGTGTGTGTGTGTGATGTGTAAAGCATGTGTTATGCAATGTTTGTTGTGCGTGTGTGCGTGTGGTGTGTTTGTCTGCTAGTCTTGTCGCTGTGTTATAAGTGTTCGTTTCATGTGTCATTAGCTATATTGTGTTTGCATTTGCTCTGACGTTTTTTTTTGTTTTGTTTGATTAATGTCTCATGCCTCATTCATCAAACAACAATCGACCGTGTTATTGATTTTTTCTCATCACTTCAAACCTCATCTCAAAAAGTCACATGTCTGCGTAACTCCATGCACCCAGAGAGATGTTTTTCAAACCAAGTTGCATTATGTAGGGGCCAGTGAAACATACAAAACTCTGAACTCTTCGCCAAAAATGTACTCCATATAAGCTTTTACAATGGATACCGCCAAATGAAACACCACATTGGTTGACATGTTGATCGTTTTCCGCCAGTTTATGCGTCTGACTATCGATTGAGAGCCATCTAAATTAATGCCTGGATGAATGCAAACAGGTATCTAAGCTAGCAACATGGAAATGAGCTGCATACACGTAAATAAATACAAATGAATACTCACAAATTTCAACATATAAACACAATTGAATGCAAACATCAGCTGATGCATTATTGGAGTTGAGGCTCATAAAAAGACATTTATTATGCACGCGTTAATATGTACATACAATGCCCTGGCACTTAAAATACAAACGCCGTATGAATTGCAATGCATGGATCATCGTCATCATCATCATCATCATTCCTCCTCTTCATCTTCATCATCATTACTCCCATTATCATCATCAACATCATCCGCATTAAAACCCACATCCTCATCATCATCATCATTATCTTAATCGCCATTTTCATTAAAATATACACCATCATTATCAGCCATCGTCGTATTGTCACCATCATTCTCTTAACCACCATCTTCACCATCATTAAAATCAACACTGTCACCATTATTGTCTCATCATCATCATCATCTTCACCGTCATCATCTTCATCGTCATCAGTAGCAGCAGAGGTTTCTTGCCAAGGCATAAATATTTAATGTTTGTCCAGTGAGCCACTGAAATGGATTTAAATGTCATGCAAGCACTGTGTTGCGAGTGTTTATCTGGCGCTCAACTTAACTGACTGATCTGATCACATTGTGTGCGTGTGGTTTGTGGGCGTGTTTGTGTGTGTTTGTTTGTTTTTATGTGAGCGTGTTTGTGTGTGTTGTACAAGTATGTGTGTGTGTGTGTGTTGTACATGTGTGTGTGTGAACGTATGTCTGCAGGTAGGTGTAAAGGTATGTATGTGTGCCTGTTTGTGTATGTGTGTGCGTGTGTTTGTGTTTAGATATGTATACAGTAGTTTGTATGTGTATACATTGTATATGTGTGTGTTTGTCTTATTTGTATGTGTTGCAGAGTTATGTGTCTGTGAGTGAATTACAGATTTAATGGTTTTAAAATTATGAACAATAATTAAATTACAAATCAATCACAAATTCAATTATAATTAAATTATAAATAAAAAATTATCAATCATACAGTTTTCAATATAATTGGAAACATAAATATTTCCTCCCTACATTCGGGCTTTTTCTGTTAGCGTTAATAACGTCGTTAGTTTTACAGTTCTCTGCCAAACAGCTTTCACATAATTAATGCCAGACTTCTTTTTCATTCATTCATTCATTCATTCATTCATTCGTTCGTTCGTTTGTTCGTTCATTCATTCAGTCATTCAGTCGTTCATCCACTCGTTCATCTACCCATTCATTCACTCATTCATCCACTCATTCATCCACTAATTTATCCAGTAGTACATACATCAAATAAAATAAGCGTTTATTATGTAATCTAAGTTTTCATTTGGTGGAATGACTAATCATTCGAACATTCACTTACTTCGTCTCTCTATAAATTAATTCCATCCTCATGTTTTGGCTTTCCGTTAAACGTATTGGTCATAACTCACACATCCATGCTCTGCCAAAGTTTCATTGGAATATTATGCTACCGAACTTTGGAGCCATTCCTTCGCTCATAATTTTCGTTGCGTCTACAGGCTTTTTTAACTGTTTGTCGTGAGTTTGTTTGTCTGCTTGTTTGTTTGTTTGTTTGTCTGCTTGTTTGTTTGTTTGTTTGATTGTTCGTTCTTTTGATTTTTAGAAATTTTAAAATATGTATTCATAATTCAATACAAAACGTATTTTTGTCTCCATCTCTCTCTCTCCCCCCCTCTTTTTTTTTCTCCCTCTCTCCCTCTCTTTCTCCTTCTCTTTCTCTTTTTTCTCACTCTCTCTTTCTTTCTCTTTTTTCTCTGAAAATGTGAAAAACAAGAGAACACGAATGACAGTAAATATTTTTTTAGCTATTTTAAATTTTCAAATTGAATTCTCAACGCACGATCAAATTTATTTATACTTTTAATTATTTGTGGATTTGTGTCATTTTATTATTTTGTCCCTCTGGCCTAACAAGCTCTAAGGCCAAGTTGTCTACTAAGTAGGTTATTCATCAATGTTATTAGTCACAAATAAAGTAAGATCAATTGTTAGTCACTGTTGATCAATCAATCAGTCAGTCAATTAATCAATCAATTAATCGATCGATCAATCGACAATCAATCAATCGATCAATCATTCAATCAATCATTCCATCAATCAATCAATCAATCAATCAGTCAATCAGTCAATCAGTCAATCAATCAATCAGTCAGTCAATCAGTCAATCAGTCATTACTTTTTTTGTCACTTAATCATATAATTCAGTCACTCGGAACGTCATTCAATTAGTCAGCAAATGAATCATTCATTCAGCCAGGTAGACATTTTGCATGGTGTTGGTATTAATTATTTTTATTCCATTGGCAGTAGAAGACATTTGCATGGCTATTAATTGCAGACTATCTTAATGCATTTTATGCCGTAACGAATTACCGTTACCATACCTTTGCATAATTATATGTAGGTGTACGTGTTTGTGTGTTTGTGCGTGCGTGTGTGTGTGAGTGTGTGTGTGAGTCTGTGTGTGTATGTTTGTGTCTGTCTCTTCTCTCTCTTTCTATGTCTCTCTTTTTTTCTCTCTCCTCCTCTTTCCTTCTCTCTCTCTTTTCTCTCTCTCTGTTCTGTGTGTGTCATAATAACAACCTGCCAGATTTTCATCAGCTATTGGACTGAAATGGGATATAAGATCTATTTGTATGGCTTCTTGGCTGCTTCTACATTGCAGTTGAAATTGTTTTTTAATGTTTTCGAGTTAAAAAGTTTTTGTATACACTTTTTTTATTTCGGCAGAAATACAAAACTTGGGTTAAATAAATAAAGATTAAAACTTGCAATCATCGCGATTTAAAAAACTGATTACGAGAAAAAAAAACATCTAAAACATTTAAAATCTCTAAATCCGACTCCATAAATTCTTCTCAGCATCTTCTCAAAGGCGGAATCATATAAGCAGGAAGTTTGCAAATTGAAACGAATGATCGAGGTTTTCAAATGGCGTCTCATTCATCGCAATTTGTGAGCGATCTAGCGCAGGTAGCCAGTCATTCGTTACTTTCGGCTCTGACGCTTGCACGATTAAATCTTCCATAATTTCCTGTTTTTCCCCGTAATTAATATGCATGCATCTTGTTAGAAATAACTTTTTTTCACAAAATTTTTTTTTCGTGTCTGGGTTTTGTGATCGTTTTGTTTTGTCTGTTTTAATCTTTTTATAAAAATTTTTTTGAAATTTATTTCAATTGTTAATTCAGAATTTAATTGTTACTTTTGAGGAACATATTTTTATAATACTTTATTTTCCATTTTCTCTTTCTTTTTTTCTTATTATTATTTGAAAAATAATAATTTTTTTACAAAATTTTCCCCAGTAGTATAGTTGAAAAAACGTTAAGTGTGGTTACATAGGAGAAATAATTTTCAAGTTAGAAGTGAACAGCTGTCCATGGAAGTCTAACAAATGTTTTCCAATTTTTGCACGAAACCTCAAAACTCTCTTGAGAGATGATCGTCAAGAAATAAATTCAAAACATCATCATCGTCATCATTTTATTCCATACATAAAAAACTGGATGACGTCATCAGTAGCCTCAACATGAAAGTATCAACACATCGTCATAACAACCGACAACAACACGACAACAACAACTTCCATCACATAGCAAATCCTTCATTTTAATTTTGTCATTTTGTTTTCTTCAATGTTTTGTTTGAATATTTCTAACAAGTTCACGTTCATTTTTTTCATTTATTTGTTCATTTGTTTTTCCAGTAATTTATTAAAAGTCTGACCAACCTCGGATGACATATTTGAGACGTCTTTGTTCAATTTGTTCTGAGGCAACTTGTGACCCAGTAGAAACGTGAGAAATATGAGAGGCTATCATTTTCTACAACAACTTAGTCAAGCATTTGTTGCTATGTGGATGTTTTGGTCCCACTTGAAAATTTTTTTAGAACATTTTTTTGTATAAAAATGAAACTCTATATGTACCTCTTGAGACCATTTGGAAAAAAATGTTACACCAAATTATGGAAATTTTACTATATCACACAGACTTTATAATAGCATCAATCACAATAAGCAACAAACTACAAACAACAAACTAATAAACAAACAACAAAAACAAACATTGTTCAAACTAACTACGAATAGTTGAAGACTTGCGAGCGTAAACAAAACCACAACGGACAACCGCTTGTAAGGAATGGAAGACTCTTTGATTCATATTCTTCTTGGCATGGCACGTATATTTGCATGCACTATTTCATGGCTCCACACATCTAACACGATGTCTCCGCATGCAAACATCTACTCGCCAAATGACAAAACTTTCATAGTTTTCCATTTTTTTTGTATTTCAAATGAATAATTTCTAACTTTTCATTTTCTTGCAAATTTGCAAAAATATAATGTTTTTTGCAAACTCCATTCCAAGTGTTGTCAATATTATGCATTAGAAAGAAGGTTCGGCTTGAAGGATTTTTATTCATGGATGTTCTTCAAACATTTTCTATTGATGAATGCCCGGAATAATTTTTGTACATTGAAAGAGGGTTCTCATAAATTTTTTGATTGAAGACAGCGTGTATGCTCTGCGTACAAGAAATTGCACATTTAGATATGCGTGTGTGTGTGTATGTGTGTGTGTGTGTGTTAGTGTGTTTGTATGTGTGCATTTGTATATTTATGTAAATATGCATACTTACATTTTCTTAGCAGTAGAAAGGCAACACGAGGCAAGTTCATATGTCGACTGATCGATTATGACGAATGGTCGGTAATTTGAATGAGACTGGAAGACTGCACTTGCGTAAGGGCCAAGTTGCTCACTGGCCGCGTCTGATGTTGAATAGATTGGATGGACACTTGAGAATGATAGACTGTGGAAAGTGTCTTGCTGTCAAATTCACGCTTTTCCAAAGGTTTCTACTTCGATTTGAATTCTACTTTTTAAACGTCATCAACTTTCTTCATGAAGTAATGAATAAATTAATGACAATAACGAAAAACTTAAAATAAAGTAAAATAATCTTCAATTATAAAACCTGACAAGACTCACATCAATTGACCATATATGTACAGTCAAATGTAATAGGATGAGTATGTTTCCATATCAAATTCCAACATTTTAAATTCATATTATAAATATTAAATAACGGCCTACTTAAACTTAATGAAAACAGACTTAGTGGGGTTTCAAATGGCAATAAATTTTGAGTTTTTTAACTCCAAGTTTTTAAAAAAAATTTCACATTTAACTTTATTTATTTTTAGTAGAAAAAAAAAATTAATAAAAACG